GTTGAATGTGTGAATGTGTTGACTTGCCAACATATCCTGATATAGGTCAGTGTTATACAGAGTTCTGCCAGATCCTTGCTAGTCAGCCATTTTTGTGGAGGGACGTGATGAGGTATATGATTTCACCAATTATTACCATTCCCAATTAGTTAGGGCCCAGGTGCGTGGTAATAGAACGTTAGCTCACTCTCTTTCTTAACAGCAGTTCCTGACTTGATTCCGAGGATTTCATGCATTTGATATTGTTCAATTGGTTACATTGCTGCTGTTCAACTCTGCAAAGTCCTCAAACATCTGGACACCTGCCTTTTGCGAGGAAGCATTCCAGCTGTTCAGGAATCTAACTCATCGCCAGCACTGGCTCTTACCTTATCTGTTTATACTTGGCAGACTGGCGGCTACTTCCTTTGGGCACAGACCTCTTCACCGCTGGAGGCCGGCACCTCGCTCTCTCTCAAGGTAAGAATTGAAGTGATTACAGACGGCCTCAGCGTTTCATTTGGAAGCTTTGGAATAGGTTGTCAGGGACCCACATGCCCTCTTGGGTGTCTTGGGACTCTGTCTTTAGTCCATCACCTTGGTAATGTGCCAGGCTTTCTATCCCATTCTAACCCTTCCCTGCTCCCTGCGGTCCTGGCATTTCAAAGCCTTGCTTGGCTTTATTTCCATTTCTGGTGAACCCAAGGAGAGAGTCTTGCTCAGGGGATGATCGGTGGATCACAGACTTTTCTAATTTGGTCAGTTAGAAGAGAACCTTCTAGAGCAGCCGTGGGCAAACTATGGCCCGCTGGCCAGATCCGGCCCGTTTGAAATGAATAAAACTAAAAAAAAAAAAAAAAATCAAAAAGTTTGCCCACCCCTGCTCTAGAGTAATCGTCTCAGGTATGGGGGTGAGACTAGCTGGGGAGTAAGTAGGTAGGAAGCGATGCTCAAAGTGTCTATGTCAAGTGAAATGCATTGCTAACCTCACCTAGTAAGTGTCTGCACTCATTATTGAGCATTCATGATTAGAGGGCATTTAAATGTTAAGGATGAGAAACTATCTCCTGATCGGAATTAGGATGAGCGTGTTACTCTCACAGAGAAGAGGCAATGGCATCGATGCGGGCACCTTTAAAGTTGTGTTTTGCTGATGATGGCTTTTTACTTAGTTTTGTCCTTTTGGTTTAGGTGTGGTGCTTCATTTACAGGCTGATCGGGTTCAGTTGTTAGGCATATCTCCTTTTTCCTAGTGAGAAAACTGAATCTGGGATCTGTTTTTCTGAGGTCAGGCTGCTAAAACCAAGGAATGTCTTTTTGAGGCTGCAGGGACCTGAGCCTGGCCTGCTGAGTAATCTCCCTGGCTGGGCTCTCAGCGCCCAGCCCAGAGGCCCTGTGCTTGCAAACAGACCTCCCACCTTGCATCTGAAGGGTGAAGGAGGCCGCTTCCAAAGGAAGGTGTCTGAGATTGTGAGCTGATGGGGCCTGGGCCATGTTTACCTTCCTGTTACTTGTCTAAAGATTGGATTATTAGCATCCGTGTTTATTAGTGCTAATTATGTGTTTCAAGTACAAAGCCATATTCTGTAGATGTCTGCTAAGATTCTTTGCTCCTTGCTTTATTTAAAAGGATGATATTGTACTACCCTAATTAGGTCCAAGAAAACAAGTAGCAATCTGTATGTTATCATCATTGTTACCCCTCAGGGAATATTGGGAGGTGTGAGAGCTGTTACTTCTCAACTTACGAGTCTGCTATTAATAAACCCGAAGTATAAGGAGATCAGAGAAGTGAGGGTCCAGCAATGAGGCATATGGAGAGTAGTAGGTGATCTTCAAAAGCAAGGAAACTTAATGGCTTCTTAGTTATAGTGTTAACCATGTCAGGAACAGCAGCATCATCCTAATGATAGTCATAATAATAATGATAGCAATGGTAATAAAAAATAATAACTCTAATATTTATCATCTCTGTCACCACCATCATGACAGCTAACATTTACTGGCTCCCATTTTCTGCCAGGCACTAGACCAAGCATTTTTATTTGCATTATTCTTTCTTAATCTGCATTGCAACCCTATGAGGAAGGTCCTATAAACATCTGCCTTGTACAGGCGAGGAAACTGAAGTTTAAAGAGATTAGGTGAGTTGCTCAAAGTAAGACAGCCCAGCAAAAAGCGGCAAATGGGGGAGTAACTGACTGAACAGCACAGCTTGGGGTCACTCATGCTGTAGCCTAGACCCATGTGCACGTATTTATGGCTGGTAATCCACCCTACTCACATGCCCTTTGCCCTCTGTCCACCTACCATTAGCATTTTGTCTCTTCTGCATGGATGTAGTGAAACATTAACAAATATATATATAAGTAGTTGGAAGGGTATTTGGCTTATAGAGAATACAGAGAAAATAATGAAGACTAAAAAGCGCCCAATTTGAAAAGATGCCAACTCTAAGTCATGAACACGTTTGTGCGCTTTGCTCTGCCTTTCCCCTTGTGTATAGTTCGTTCACATAGTTACTGTCTGTTTATGTTTTGAATTTTAAATTTAACAAGTCTTTTCTTGTGCCTTTGCTTTCATAAGCCTACTTTAATGGTTGCCGTCTATGGTTAGAGGGCCCTTAAGTTGATGCCACAAGAAGTTGTATCTTTGAGTTGCTCCCCTGTGACAAGTGCAGAGCTTCTGCTCACGGAATGGGATGGCCAATTTCTGTCTACTGACAGTTGGCTTGGAGTTGTGGGGTGTCTATGTCCCCTCACAGTGTAAACACCCTGTATCTTGAGCAGGATTTCTATGGGGTTGGGCAGGAGTCTTACTGGCCTGGAGCCCAGGAGACCTAGACGTGGCTCTATACTGAAGTTAGCTGCACGTCCTTGGGTAAATTACTTCCGTTTTGCATCTTCATCCATGGACCACTTATGTCCAGTCAGCTCTATAATTCCATGAAATCAGGAGTTTTCTGAACTCTCTTGACTTATACCCTGATCAGTTCCAATTGATGCAACAATTTTGGTTGAACTCTGCTGGGTTACTCTAAGTTACTTCAAGCAGGGAGTTTAGTTTTTCAAGATGACCAGACCTGTAAACTCTTCAAACGTGAGGTGTCATAGCTACTTTTCTATCATTCTTGCTATCCTCACTTCTCTGCCCAACCCCACCAACTTTCTCCCAAAACCCCCTCCCTCCAGAATAGACAGTACAAAGTGTGTGCTCACCAAATATATGAGATGAACAAACAAATACATGCATGACTGAGGCTACTGGTCTTGGTTTAAGAACCTTTAGCACCAAGGCTGACCCAACCTATCAAATTAGTAAGATTGTTTCATGTAGATGTGGTGACTGTGTTTATAATAGACACGGAATTTTAAGCCTCCAAAATCTCTCATAACATATTTCAAGTGATTTTCCTACCAAGATGATTACCGATTCTTCCTGCACGTTACAGATGAAAGAACACTGGTCTATGGAACTTGGTGTATTTTTCCCTGTACTATGTGTAGAACGGTTTTCTTTTTGCTTAGGTCATGGAAAAAATCAAAGCTTAAAATGTATCTTTTTTTTTTTTTTGCTGTGAACAGCAGAACAAAATGAAGGTATTTGGGGCTTCCTGCATTCTTGGAACCACATATCTGGGCCATGCGGATTACATTTGTGGTTCTGACTGGCTCCCCCTGATTCTCACCTGGTGATGCTGATTTTGAATTTGTTTGTTCATGCTTGAAGGTACCTGCCCACTTCATTGTGCAATATATATTTTTAAAATATATATTTATTGCTTTTAGAGAGAGAGAAAGGAGAGAGAGACAGAGAGAGAGGGAGACATCAATGAGAGAGAAACATCATCAATTGACTTCCTCCTCCCTGTCCTCTACTGTGGATTGTGCCCCCAACCTGGGCATGTGCCCTGACTGGGAATCAGACTGGTGACCTCTTTTAAAAACAAAACAAAACACGTTTTTTAAAAAAAGCCATATATTTTTATTGATTTCAGAGAGGAAGGGCGAGGGAGAAAGATATAGAAACATTAATGAGAGAGAATCATTGGTTGGCTGTCTCCTACATGTCCCCTACTGGGGATCGAGCCCACAACCCAGGCATGTGCCCTGACTGGGATTCGAATTGTGATCTTCTGGTTCATAGATCGATGCTCAACCACTGAACCACACTGGCTGGACCATTGTGCAATATTTAAGACCTATGGTGTAAAGCTACTTCCAAGGAGGTCAAATCTTGCCAGGTCTGGCCCTATAAGTTATCACAGTTTAAAAGGAACAGAAGCATGTGTTCCCATACCTCTCTGCCCTTGCTGCCCCCGCAAAGACCCAATTTGGCACCTACCTTGGCACAGAGAGCTTGCCTGCATCTCCCAGATTTGATCATCAATTACTCTTAGCTTTTCCCAAGTTGATATGCTGACAGTGGGGGCCTCCCTGGGTGGCTACCAGGTGGGTGAGATGGGAACTTGGAAGCACCATGTGGAGGTGGGTGAGATGGGAGCTTGGAAGCACCATGTGGAGGTGGGTGAACCTGCTGGCAAAGAGACAAACAGCCTGGTTTCATAGGTGTGCTAGTGCATTTGAAATGCCACTGATATGAAAGCCTCATTTGTTTAGGGCTCTGTAGCAGTTATCTCTTGTTGCATAATAATAAACCTCCCAAACTTAGTGGCTTAAAACAGCAACCATTTTGTTTGCTCTTGATTCTGTGGGTCAGCAGTTAGGGCTGGGCTCAGCCATTCTCCCCTGTTGTATGCCGCTGGTGCCTGGTGACCTAGGAGACCTCAGCTGGGACAACTCATCTCTGTCATTTGTGCTTTCACCCTCCAATAGGCTGGCTCAGGCTCCGTCACCTGGCAGAGCTGTCCAGCAAGAAGAGAAGAGCAGAAACGGTCCGTTCCATTGGTCAAAGAATGTCATAGGTCCTGCCCACAGGGGAGGGGGCTGAAAATAGGCTTCACCTGTTAATGGAATAGCTGCAAGGAATTCATGACCACTTAAAATTTACCATAGGCTCTTAACTTGGATATGAAAGAAACCCCAAATTACTTTCATTTAAAATGATTTTTATTTTGCCTTTAAACTTTCTTGGTGTTATCATATCTGAGAGAAGTCTGGAAAACAGAGGTTGTCTGGAACATATCCCAGAATATAATAATAAAGATAGTAATAATAATGTTAATATTGTTCTTACTATATGCCAAACACTGTTTTAAGTTCTTTACATATCATAATGCATTTGGTCATTACAAAAATCTTATGAGTAGGCACTATTTTTATCCCCATTTTATGGGTGAGAAAACTGAGGCACAGGGAGGTTAGGTAACTTCCCCCAATGTCATGAAGGTACTATGTGGCAGACCTGAGGTTTCACCTCAGCAGACTGCTTCCAGAGTCTGCACATTAACCCCAAATGCCTCTCAAGCTAATGGAAACTAATTCTTCCTGACTCTGAGCAGAGTTCTCTCTTGGACCATG